TTCTTCTAAAACTGACATCACCATTCAAGTCACCCGGGGCCAAAACACTGGAAACGACTCTTCATTCGCCCGTTTCCGTTGAGAAACGGGCCCGAAATCACCCTTTCTCCCGCCATAGCGCGTTGCTCCCCCGTTGCTACGTTACTTCCATCTCCGAATGCGCCCTGCGCGAAATCCCGTCCGGGTTCATTACGTTTTCAACTTTTTTTTTGCTGCTTTCTTCTTCTCTGCATTTCGCTACCCCAATTCCCTGTTCGCTCGTTCTATGCGGTCGCTGCCTCACCTTCCCCATCAACCGCTCGCCTTTCCCCCAAGGCCGTGCGACTAGCCTAAGCTTCGACCGCAGTAGATCCACAATGACTGAACTGACAGTGGCACGGTCAACTGTCCCAGGAAGACTTTCGACAAGGAGTTGCTACTGGGCTGCTCGATTAGTCTTTCGCCCCTATGCCCAACCCCCGACGACCCACTGCACACCCATATCGAACGGCCCCCACCACAACCTCCTCTCACCCGTCTCTGCCCACGGGAATCGACCACCACTTCGAGCCTTCAGTAGGCAGCTTCCACACAGACAGCCTGTCGCGGAGTCGAGGGTACGGGCCCGCCACAAAGCCTAGGACCGGGCCTAGTGCAGATTCCTGAAGAAGGGGGCGCAACTGACTGTACGCCCCGGCCGTATAGGGGAGCGGCGGGGGCAACAGTGGCAGGCTCTGAGCGAGTTGCGGTAGAAGAGGTCGCGGCAACCGAGGGAGTAGGAAGGAGGTAGAATGGGGGTGGAGGGGGTGCAAGGCGGGGGAAGCGAGCCTCCATGGATGGAAGAGTAGAGGAAGAAGGGGGTGCGCGTGAAGGCTCGGCCACCTGTCATGGTAAGGGTGGTTGAAGGTGTAAGACGGCGAGGTCGGCCCGGATCTGGGCAAGCTCGGTCTCAATACAGTGGACATAGATCGAGCGAGGAGTAGTAGGATGAGGACTGGGGGAAGTAGACACACGAGAGGCGCGAGGCATCCCATAAGGGGAAGAGCCAGGTGGCGAGGCGGACGTGCGAAGGAGAGGGAGAAGCGGGGCACCGGAAAAGCTGAGACCACGGCAGCGGGTTGTGGTCCCATGGCCGTAGTGATCGGAATCTGGGCGGGTGCGCCCGTAAAGTGAGGGAAGGCCTGGCCTGTGGTAGCCGTCTTGCTAGGAGCGTAGATTATCACCAGGATGGCCGGGTTGGCAGCAGCGGAGGAGGAAGCTCCGTCGTGGCCACCATGTCGGAGGACGGGGGACCCGGACCGGGAGCCAGGGGAAGAGAGAGAGTGGGGAGAGGAAGGACGACCAGCGTTCTGGAGTTGCTGTAGGCCAGCAACAAGAGCCGCCACCTCCGCCTGTAAGGGCGCAAGGAGGGAGGTGAGGAAGGTGTGCAGATCCCCCTGGGCCTGATGGCCCTGGTCCGTCGGCACGGGTATGGAGCCCGGTGCCGAGGTTGTCGCCGCGTCGGCGGGTTGTGCAACGCCGTCGGCCATGGGGAGGTGACGGGCCGAACTGGAGGGGGCCAAAGGAGGTCCCTAGGCATAGGAGGTGGGTCCGCGGTAAAAAGCGACGGGTGGTGCTAGTGAGTCGAGCGCGGGCGCCCGCAAAGGGGGAAGGGTGGCCCGGGTCCAGGGTGCCCGAATGGAAAGGGGAAGCAAATTTTTTTTTTTTTTTTTTTTTTTCAAACAAACGACCCGGTAGGTTGCTAGGGATGCTAGAAAGAATAGCCAACGCTAGCATTTGTCGGAGGCTCCATCTATTAGTGGGGAGCAGCACCTGCTGGAAAGCAGGTCCAACGTCCCTGAACATTTAGTTTGCTTGTTTTACCAAAAAATGTATTTGTGATGGTGGCCAGGAGAAGGCATCGTCGGAAGTAGGGGGGGTTAGAAAAACCCTGAACCCTAGAAAAAACCCTAAGAAAACCCTAACCGAAGTTTGAGTCGTTAGAGTAGGATACCAATGACTTAATCAAGAAAATAAAATAGCAACCATGGAGGAGGGGGGAAAAGAAAAAATAAATAAACAATGAAATTTCAAGAGAAAAAAAAAAAGAATAAATAATAAAAATAATAAAATAAATAAATAAACAAAATATGAAGAGAGAAAAAATTATTTATTTTTTTGAAATTTTCGGCAGCATTTCCTTACATCCCATGGGATCACGAATGTGCCAAGAGGAAGGAGAGGCCAAGATAAGCGCATAAAATTTCAAAATGTCACAAATTATAGAATTCAAAAAATAAATAAAGAAATAATAAGTAAATAAATAAATAAAAAATGAGGAGGTGGAGAGTGAAGAGAGACTAAGTGTTGAATTTTTCAAAACTTTCGGCAGCATTTCGGTAACCCCATGGGGTCGAAGTATGCCGGCAAGTATATGACTAAGTAAGGTGTAGAGAGTGGGGAGAAAAGATAAAATTTCGGCAGCACTTCGTTACCCCCACGGGGTCAAAATGTGCGCCGAAAGCGGAAGTAACTAAGCCCTACCAGATCTAGAGATGCCACAGAAAAAAAAAATTCAAAATTTCAGAATAAATAAAAATAAAGGAAATAAATCAGAAAATGAGAAAGGAAGTAGAGAGAAGAAGAGAATTCAAATTTTGAAGAAATAGGAAATTTAAATCAAAAGAAAAACCATGGTAACCGACCAGACGTCCGGACCGGTTTCCAGACAACCCCAAACATTATGTAAGGGTCTGGTGTCCTGTCCTGGACATCCGGAACCGGGCCACCCAACGAAAAATCATAAAAAAAAGGGCCGCCAATGACATTTTTCAGGTCCTCGGCGGCCCCGGAAAAATACTGGGCCAATTTTTATGTCTTTTCGCCCTACCGGACATCGGTCGAAGGCCGGACCCACCACAGTCTGTGAAGACTCAGGTGGGGTGGCGGGAGGCAGGGCCACACTTTCAAACTGGCCGTTTTTGAATCTCGTGGGCGCGCTGTTAGGAAGCCGCCAACTGCTGCCCGTCACGTCCCCCTGCAGCCCCGCGACCATCCCCGAGGAAGCCGCCATCGCCGACGAAACAGCCAGCCGCCGCGCACGTCCACGAAGTAGCCAGCCGCCGCCAACGTCCAGCCGACGCCAACGTCCAAGAAGCAGGTCAGTCTCTCTCTCTCTCTCTCTCTCTCTCTCTCTTTCTCTCTCTCTCTCTCTCTCTCTCTCTCTCTCTCTCTCTCTCTTCCAGGTTTGTCCTTTCTTCCGGCTTTGTCATTTCTTCCACAGCGGGAGATTCGGGAGGAGGTTTGGGGAGGGAGAGGGGCGGTACGCAGTGGAAGGAAAGAGGCTCAAGGAGTGAGGGATGGAGATCGGCGGGTAGGGTCGGGAAAGATGGGGGGTTGGGATGGAGACTGGCGGGAAAGATAGGGGAGGTTCGGGAGGAGGTTCGGGAGGAGGTTCGGGGAGGG